TAAAAGCAATTTATCAGTCAGAGTACTTTTCTCGTAAAATTCTTTTTGTTTATAACAAAATTTATTTTATTTTATTTTTCAATAGCTGCTCGTGCTGGTGGAGCGAAGAAAGGTAAACAAACAACAAGTCGTAGTAAAGCAAAAGCAAAACAATGTAAGATTTAATTTTTAAAGAAATAAAAAAAAACAAATATTATGATAATTCATTTTGATTTTTAGCTGATGATAATGACGATGATGATTTAAAAGAAAATGATGGCGACGATGATGATGATGAAAATGTATTTAAACGACCAATGAGAAAAGAACCAAAAGTGCAAACAATAAGTCGATCAAAACGTGGTGCGGACACGTAACTGCACGTAAAAAAGCAGCTGTAGTAGCGAGTGATAATGAAGATGATGATTAACTTATTTTTTTTTTCTTGTATTATATTACATTGTATATTTTGATTTGGTTATTTAATTTTTCTTTTGATGTTATTCTTTCTCTTTCTTCTTCTCTTAATATCCATTATTAGGGTCAAGAAAGGTGAGCTCCACATGTAAACTCCAAATTTGGAGCTCACTTTCCCATCCACGTTTTACCATAAAATAGAGTCCATCTGTTTCGCTTTAAAGCAGTACGGGCCTATTTGACTGAGAAACTAGGTCGAGTTATATCTGATGTTCAATAGATACATAGCATGGGATGCAAGTAGCATCACCTAGGATGCTAGAGGCATCACCTGGCATGCTAGGGGCATCACCTGGGATCCTAGGGGCATCACCTTGGATGCTTGTAGCATCACCTGGGATGCTAGTAGCATTACCTGGTATGCTAGTAACATCACCCGGGATGCTAGAGGCATCACCTGATATATCCCTGGTATCCCAGGTGATGCTACTAGCATTCCAGGTGATGCTACTAGCATTCCAGGTGATGCTACTAGCATCCCAGGTGATGCCTCTAGCATCGCAGACGATGCCTCTAGCATCACAGTTGGTTTCTTTGGTGAGCTCCTAATTTGAAATTTACATAGTTCGGAGCTCACTTTTTTGACCCTGAACTTTATGACGTCAGATGAGGTCAATGAGTAAAATGTGGATGGGTAAGCGAGCTCCAAATTTGGAGTTTACGCAGTTTGGAGCTCACTTTTCTTGACCCATTATTAGAAGATTTTGTTAAGCATAATACTTTCATTTATTTTGTGCTTCATTGTGAAAAAAAAATTATAAACGGTTTTGTTTCTGTCTGAATATTGCAAATAAAAGATCTGTTAATGAAACAATTTTTTTTTTTTTTGAAAAGGTTAATATTAATTGAAAATCATTGATATTTTTCTAACAGCAAGAAATATTTTATCTTGATAAGAAAAAAAGAAACGTTTAATCCTTGATCGCACTATAATTTTGTATGAAGATCTTGACAGAAAAACAAATGAAAGAATTTATTTTCTATGATCCTTGTCATCCAATGGAAAAGAAAGATCTAGTTATATATGGAAAGTAATCAAATATTCGTACACAAAAATAGAATATAAACAAGTTGTATCGTAGGGTTTGTATACAGTACGGCAATAAAACAAGTAACGCGTCGGCTCTTTGAGCCTCGCTCAGCTCAATCCTGAAAGCTTGGGACTATGGTGTAGAGCATTGAGTATTCTATAACTAAACATATATTCCTAAATGAATCTGAAATAAAACCAAGTAATTTATTTTGCGAATGGAATTGCCAATAAGTATTAGAGTAAATTTTCTTTACAATAACATATAGTTTAAAATTCGTTTGTATTTAATATGTATTAATTATATGCTATTATTGGATACTCATGTTGGAAAGCATTTCAAAAAATTCTTTAGTTAAAAATGCTTGATGATACAAATATTTGTCACAAAACTTAACCAAGAAGAAAAACATTGATAAGACTTTCTCGAATAATCTAATTCATAGGTGTCTAAATGTTGTACTCATACTTGTCTACAAAGAAACTACAGATTTTTTAAATTTCTTTTTCAATATTGAGTTGTATTAAACAAATAGTAGAAAAAAAACAAATATTTACAATTATAAAGAAAACAATGACAAAAAAATCTGTTCGATTATACTTTATTCATTAAATCTTTGATTGTTTGTTATTCTTCCGACAGACCTGATGTTATCAATATTGGTAGAATGCCCACATCAACATGACTAAAATTATTTCATCATTTAAAGAATGAAACATCTTTTCGTTTTTTTCTTCTCACGTAAGATATGAAATTTATTTTCGATTGAGTTGTTGGAAGAATTAAAATTTGTATCTAATTCAAAAAGAACAGCATACAAATTTAATGGAAAATTAGTTTTATCACAGTCCGTGAAAAGCTCGTGCGTCTGGAAGGAAAAGTAGTGTTCTCAATTACTGGAAATTCTATAAGTCAACGATCTCCACTTTTTATAATATAATTTTTATTATAATACGGGCATATAATGAAAAACTTCGCCGTCTCATATATGGGACATCCGGCGCGAAAGTTTTAAATAAATCACGATTAATTCAATAAGGGTATGGGTGTTGTTCTTTTATTTTCTAATGGAGTCGAAATGTACCTAAAACGTCTCCCGTACTTTTATGTATGAATAACATAAGTGTGGAATTAGTGGTTGTTTATCAAGACTCCATATAAAATAATTTTACCTAATTCAAAATACCTCATTCGATACAGTTTTTAATAACGATTCTGAATCTAAAGATGGTTTTTATTGTTAATGGTAAAATATAAGAGTAAATGGTTGAACATTAGAAAACCTATACTACACAAAATGTGAAAAAAAGCAACATTTTTTGTCCTTCGTCCTATTTGCATAGCAAATGATTCTCCCATAAAAAGTTATTTATATAGGTCGATAGAGCAGAAGTTCCTCTATCGAACTATATATCAGGCTTGCTGCTGGGATTCCATTTTTGAATCAAATGCTACGCAAACATTTTCGTATGTTTTAGGTATTCAGTGGCAAGGAAGAGCTATTAAGATTCCTGTAAAAATAATTGAAATTTAACCTGAAAAGTAGAAGATCTTGAAGAATTTTTGATGTTCTATACGAATCTGAAGTTAAAATATTGATTAGAAAAAATATTTAGCTTCATATTCTCCAAAATAATGAAAACGATTACATTTGAAGTTGGAGAAAATAGTCAGAAATACGTATTTTCGTATTTTGCGAATTTATCTCTTATAATCCGGTCAATGATAGACTTTTCGGTGATCAAAATAATCAATGTAAAAAGTTCTATCGTATAATGCTATTTGAAGGCCAATCGAATATACTTCATGTAACGGTGGAAGGAACCCCACGGAATTATCCAAATATGTTATATGAGTCTTGACAGAGAAATTTTGTTTACCAAATATGCTACTTTTAACTCTTATTTGGTGAATATTTCAGTCAAACGTCATGGCACCGAGCTGAAAATTTTACCATAGTCTCTCCACTATAGTCCCAATATATTCTGAAAATTTCAGTCAATTTGGATGTACCTAGAGATTGAGATCAATTTTCGAGAGGCCTTAAAAGGTGTTAAAGCAGATGAAAAATATACGTTCAAAAGAAAATGTGTTCAATAATCCTATTTATTTGTTACTTAAGTGTGTTTCTTGATCTTGCACAATTCTATTTATTTATTGATTAATTGTTTTTCTTGATTCTGTACAATAAAGAGCAAAACTTTTATGTAAAAATTCTTCCCATGTCGCACATTTCTTCTCAGTACCGCCGTTAGCACCCTCAATTTACGGTTCCAGAACTAAATTCTTGAAAAGAGCATTTCCTGCCTAAATTTGAATTTGCTATTAACAAACATTAAAAATGAGAGAGAAAAAAAAAATTTTACAAGTATTTTCAGTAATAATAATATTTGCGGCGCCCTCTATTTTGAAAAATTGATCTCAGCACTGCGACTGATTTGGGCTCTGTGGCTAGTACAGGCAGCTCAGGCGCATCAACATTGTCTGAGAACACCGAATTTCACGAAACTTTGACGATTTTATCAGACTTAAAAAATATTCAGCCGTTTTGATACACTATAACACGATGCGCTACTCCTCGAAAAAACTAACGGTTTTTTTCCGGTTCGAATCGCATGGATTAATTAGTACGCTGGAACAGAGTTTAAAAATAGCTTTATATGTCACACATACTTCATGCTTTTTTTCTGGTCTTTATAAATGATTTTCTGCTTTTCACACTTCAAAAGTTGGCAGCACCACTTGCGTCATTGAATATGCTCGACCAATAATCATCATCTAAAGTTGTTTTATCTCAAATGACAGCATGTTTCTAATTTCTGCTTGTTGAACACAAATAATTGTAAAAGCACTAATGAAAAATTGTAATAACAATGAATATAATCAGTTTAATGGTACTTTTTGAAAAATCATCATCAATAGTCTTCATGGCAAACATTTTCTGTGGCGAGTTTCAATCAACAAATATTTTGTTTATCAAAAAGAAGACTCTTCTGAAGTAAATCTTTCTTGATTTGCTTAGTTTTTTTTCGCTGTTTTTCATGAAAAAGAAAAATGTCAACGAACAACATAATTCTTGGAAACAAGACGTTCTTTTTCTTCTCACACATTACTTCATACATTTCAATCAATACGATTGTGATGCATTAAACATATTTTGAAATGAATTACGCATATAATTGCAGCCGAACAAATACTTCCATAAAGAAAAATTCTAATGAACTCGAAAAACTTATCCATAATATTTCATGTTCGCAGATCATCATCAAAATGAATATCTAATTTTCTCAATCTTTTAGAAGATCTTTTTTTCCACAATAGTGTCAGAAACGAATAGAAAATGAGCCAGCAGGCTACTTATGTCAAACGACTAATTGTGGATTATACGAGTTTTAGAGATACAGGAAAGAAGGCGTTTGAATTGCATTAAATAAAATTATATTTGACAAGATACTAATAATGCTATTTTTATCTGAAAGAATTTGATGAAAGCGTTGACCGTGATGAGTTAGCTGTTATTGTCATATCTGGGGATGTCCCTGGCAGGTATTGAAATTAGATTTTCTTTGAAGATGTCATAGAGAAAATAGAGAAGAAGAAGAGAGCACAAAATCACAGAGTGATAGTGCATTTGATTTATCTTATTGCGATTGAAGCAGACTCGTATAAGAGCTCAGCCGATTTTACAAAAAATATAATATCAGTCTTTGAAGTAGCTCTTCAAATCAAATTTTGGAATCTAATTATTTTATTTTCAATCGAAGTTCCAGCAGCGTTACTCAATGCAATAATATTCATTAGCATAAAATCGCTTCGTCGATCTCCATCAACTTATTATATTGTGGGACAATCATTATCCGATGTGAATA